GGTACAGGCAGCATCGGGAGAACAGGGAGAGCCGGGTAGCTGAACTGGGTAATCAGAGGAGGTGGTGTCTTACCTGCAACCTGAAGGAAGTCCCAGTATATGAAATCCAGTACAGGTAGGCCCTGGTGAGAGAAGCTTGGTGTCCTTGGTACTGAAAATTGGCTGTGGCCTTGGTGTAAGGGGGGGAGTAGGAGAGATAGGATAGAAAGGCGGGCAAAAGCCTTGCAGATTGGGCCTCCTAAGCAATGCTCAGGTATTGAGACTTCTCTCTAGGAGCAAAGGGAGGATATTGAAGGGTTTTTGGCAGGGTACCCATGTTTCCTAGGATGGTCCCCTGCTTCTGGCTGTGTCCTGCTCACAAACCTCACCCTCAGTCCTAGGAGCTGGAGAATAAAGGGATGATGCGTGATAAGGGCAAATGCGAGACCTGAGGGGTCCCTCCCTCCTACATAGGTACGACCTGCAGACACTGCCTGTGGACTTCGTGGAGTGCCTGATGCGCTTCCTGCCCACAGAGGCCGAAGTGAAGCTGCTGCGGCAGTACGAGCGGGAGCGGCAGCCCCTGGAGGAGCTGGCGGCTGAGGACCGCTTCATGCTGCTCTTCAGCAAGGTGGAGCGGCTGACCCAGCGAATGGCGGGCATGGCCTTCCTGGGCAACTTCCAGGACAACCTGCAGATGCTCACCCCGGTAGGCCCCACCCGCCACCCTCATCTGCTGGCCCCCCTCTGCCATCCACCTGCCGGTCACTTCCCTGGCCCTGCCGACCCCCCCAGCCCCCTGCCGGCCTGGGGTTACTCAGCTCTTCCTCTTGCCTTCCAGCAACTCAATGCCATCATTGCAGCCTCCGCCTCTGTCAAGTCCTCACAGAAGCTGAAGCAGATGTTGGAGGTGGGAGAGGCTGTATGTGGGGGTGCCGGTGGGGACCTGGGGCTATGGAGCCAAGGGAGGAGCCCTCAGGGCTTGGCGTGACCTCCTCCCACTTGTCTTTGGACAGATCATACTCGCGCTGGGGAACTACATGAACAGCAGCAAGCGGGGTGCTGTGTATGGCTTCAAGCTCCAGAGCCTGGACCTGGTAAGACGGTGGGGGCCGCATGGGGCCAGGAAGCCCGAGGGAAGGCAGCTGTGGAGCCAGGATGTTCAATCCGTTTGCATTACTCCTTGTCCCCATCTCCCAGCTGCTGGACACCAAGTCCACTGACAGGAAGATGACGTTGCTGCATTTCATCGCCTTGACGGTGAAGGAGAAATACCCAGACCTGGCCAACTTCTGGCACGAGCTGCACTTTGTGGAAAAGGCTGCAGCAGGTGAGGGGAGCCTGCCCTTGCGTTCAGCTCAGGACAATCCCGGGAAGTTACCAGGAGTGGGAACACTTGGGTCCTTTTGTTTCTGGCTCTTGTTGTCTTTCTGACACTTCAAAGCTCACTGCTGGGGCCAGGGGCAGGGCCACCCCAGCGGGAGCCTTCCTGCAGGCGCCCCCCACCCCCACCCCCAGTGGCCCTGTTCACCTGGATGGCGGGGAGCCGCAGGGGACGACACAGTGGCTCTTCACTCCAGCTCCTCAGGCTGGCCTGACGTGTGGGAAGACCTTAGAAACACCATAAAGCCCCTCAGGGTAGCTATTATTTCTGCCCCACTCCTGAAAACTGGTGCAGGCCTGAGGCAGCTCCATTTGGAAGACCGGAAGTCTCTGTGGCTTGCCTTCCTTTGTTACTTTGCTCTTTGGGGTCCTGAGTTCCCTTCTCTGTGTCCACCCAGGGGGAGGGGAGTGCTCAAGCAGCAGGAGCATGAGAACCCGAGGGAGCCCTTGCTGAGGGGAGGTGGGCATGTCCAGCCTGGGCTCAGCCTGGGCTCAGCCTGGGCTCTGTGACCACAGTGTCCCTGGAGAACGTGCTGCTGGATGTGAAGGAGCTGGGCCGAGGCATGGAGCTGATCCGGCGCGAGTGTAGTATGCATGACCACAGCGTCCTCCGGAGCTTCCTCAGCACCAACGAAGGCAAACTGGACAAGCTGCAGCGCGATGCCAAGACGGCGGAGGTGAGCAGAGGCTGGCAGCAGCCAGGTTTAAGGCACTGTGCCCCTCTTAGGTTTTCCTTTTTGGACCAAATACTTTTATAAAGTGCTGGCTTACCGTGGCGGGGGAGGGTGATTGGGGATGGCAGGCAGCTGCCTCTGGTGACTGCACTCTAGGAAGCTCTGGGAGCCGGGCCCTTTCCAGCCTCGGGGGCTGGGTGCTGCCTCCTGTGGGCCCACTGCCCCCGGTGGGAGCGGCTTCCCTCCGCCAGCTGACCGCTCCGGCCTCCCTTCCCCAGGAGGCCTACAATGCAGTTGTGCGCTACTTCGGGGAGAGTCCCAAGACCACACCTCCTTCTGTGTTCTTCCCAGTATTTGTCCGATTCATTCGTTCTTACAAGGTGAGCAGGAAAGCTTTTAAAGAAAAAAGGCTGAGAGAAAACTGATCGGGGGAGAGAGGGTTGGGCTTCAAATCTGGCCTTTTCCGTCTCTTCCTCTGGGTCCTGGGAGGGAGCGATGGAAGCTGGCCACAGGCCTTAGCTGTGAACTGGTGGGCAGGGTGGGGGCCCAGGCCCTTCCTGTCATTGTTTAGGGCAGGAAGTGCCCCTCCAGAGGGTGGCCACCTGGGGTTGCTGGTCCCACTGCCACTCTCCACCCTCAGTCAGCCCCTCCCCTTAGCCTGTGTGAGTCTCACAACCGCCCCCCACCCCCACTACGGTTCTTAGGAAGCAGAACAAGAGAACGAGGCCCGCAAGAAGCAGGAGGAGGTAATGCGGGAGAAGCAGCTGGCTCAGGAAGCCAAGAAACTGGATGCCAAGGTGGGTGGGACCAAGAGCAGAGGCCTGGAGGAAACTGGGCAAAGGATTAGGACAGGGTGGAGCAAACGGGGTAGATGGAGAGCTGGAGCCCACAGTCCACCCAGAGGGCCCGGAGCTGGCGTCCCAAGGGATGGGGAGAGGGGCTGTGGGAGGGGATTCCCAGGCCAGGAGGGGGCGGGGCCGTCATACCCAATCCAGGACATCTTGGGTCAGGAATCGTCCCTGTGGTAGGTTAATAACGACTCCCTTCCCTTCAAATGCTCGGCCCTAGACCCCATCCCAGCGGAACAAGTGGCAACAGCAGGAGCTAATTGCCGAGTTGAGGCGGCGCCAGGCCAAGGAGCACAGGCCTGTGTACGAGGGGAAAGATGGTACCATTGAGGACATCATCACAGGTGGGGCCCTTTCCTCCCAGGGGCCCGAGAGCTGGGCCCAGCTCCCCAAACCCAGTCACATTCCCTGGGCCCTCCCACCTCACGTGCGCCACGGGGCCTGACCGCGGTCTCTCTCCTGGGCCGCAGTGCTGAAGAGCGTCCCTTTCACGGCCCGTACTGCCAAGAGGGGCTCACGCTTCTTCTGTGATGCAGCCCACCATGATGAGTCAAACTGTTAGCCCCCGAGGCTGGGGCCCTTGACAGGTACTGGGCACCACAGCTGCCCCTCTGCATGCCCATCACCCAAGACTCGTGCTGGGGTCCTCAGGCACCTCCTCTGCATGACCTGGCACCATCCTCGGGCTGCCGCATGGTGATGGGGACACATACTTATTTCCCTCCCTGCATGCCCCATGCTCTGAGAAGCATGGCTTATGCCCTGCATGTGCCCTCAGGGAAGTGGTATCTCCCACTAATGCTGTCCTAGCTTCTACTAAGACCGGGGGAGGGGGGGGGACACCAGGCCGATGCCTCTGGTGGCTGTTACCGGGCTTGTAGGTCCTTTGTCCTTGCTCTGCCCTGTGGCCTCTGGGCCTCTGAAAATACGGAGCCCTGCCATCTCCCTGACCCTGCCCTCCAGTGTCTGACTCACCGCCGGCTCTTCTCTGGCCCTGCCTGCGGGCTGCTCCTGAGGGGCTGTTCCTACAGAGGCTGGGCTTGGCCCGGCTGCCCTGCCTGTTTACCGGCTTCTGATTCCCCCACAGGGCTCCACCAGCCCATTGTCGTTCGCCACCAAGCCAGGAGCGCGGCCCCACCCAGTGGCCCACCTCGGGCACCAGGCCCCCACTGAGACCCTGAGAGGCAGAAGCACTTCAACTCCGGATCCTGCAAGTCCACCGCGGACCTGGAGCCCGGAATCGGCCCAGGGCCCCGAGGAAGGCCATGCTGCTCCTGACCCAGTGTCACTGGGCTCTCAAAGCCTGCATCTCCCTGCCGCACTGCACTCGCCTGGTGCTCGTGCCTCCTGGACTGCACTTGGCCTCCAAGGTCACCAAGGGCCAGCTGGAAAAAACCATTTCCGGCTTTAGCCTGCAGAGGGACACCTAGGCCACTGTCAGTGGAGCCAGAGGGACAAGAGTGTCTGGCTTGGGGAGCCCTGGGGCCCTGCCAATCTCAGATCATCCTTAACCGGGAGCAGGGCCTTCCTAAGCCTGGGCCCCGCTCAGCTGTGGCCTAGTGATAAGGGTGAGGAAAGATGCTACACTTACTGGCCCTGGCCCTAGCCCCAAAACAGCTAGAGAAAGGGTATGCCAACAATGTCTTCATCTCCTTTCTTCAGCGAGGTGTTTTTTGAGGGGACAGGGGACACGGTGGTCTTAGCTGGTTATATTCTCAGTCCCCTGCCAGTTTCTTAGCCCCTATTAGGGAACATAGGGGTTCACTCCTTTTTGTACATGTATCATCTCCCTTCTCTCTTGTACATAAACCCTGGCCCTTCTTTCTCTCAACAAAGGCTTGAAGCACAGGCCTGACTCTGACTCCTCTTTCTGAGTGTGGAGGGTTAGGGTGGCCGTTTAGTTTGATCTTAGCCCTGCAGATAGAAAGGAGGCTGGGCAGAGCTGCCATCCGCTTGGAGGTGAGCACAGAAACCTGGGGAGGGGACTCAGGCTGGTGAGCTCCAAGCACACAAAGGGAGGCACTACCGTTAGGCGCTAGCACCCCCTGCTGGCCATGGGTGCCGCTGTCCAACATCTCCCTTCCCAGTAGTATATGAAGACAAAAGAGCCACTGACCATGTTATAAATATTGTTATTTATAAAACAAAACACACATACACAGGGTCCCAGGGCTGGAGGAAGGAGTGGTGGAGCCCCAGGGCCCCGTGCAGGCAGGAGCAGGCACTGATGCTAAAGGGGAAGGACCCCGCCCTCTGCCACTCAGGCTGTGTCCACCAGCCTGTCACTTCCCTGGAGGCCCCTTCTCACATTCTATCTACTGGCACCACCCACCCCACGTGGCATACGCCACCAGTCTGTGGGGCTGAGGGCAAGGACTGCACTAGTTGTCCGGGAAGTAGGGGACTGTTGGACACCACGAGCAACCTCGGCAGGTGCTGGCAATGGTGTTGGGAGTGGGGTTACTTGAGGAAAAACGGACACAGACCAGACTAAGGAGGAAGTCTGGGGCAGGCGGTGAGGGTGACCTAGTAGCCACAGACCCAAGGCAGAGCCGCTGGTGGTCAGTTCACTGGTGGTCATCCAGCTGCTGGAGGAGTGTGCGCCGCCGCCTTTCCAGCTCACCCTCACTCAGCTCACTTTCTGACGTGTCCCAGCCCGTCTGGGGGAGCAAAGGCACAGCTCACCCACAGCCTCCCCGGAAGGCCAGAGGCCTGGCAGAGCACTGCCTGGGCTGGGACCAGGCACCTGCCTCTCACCTTCTCCTTCTTGACTCCGAAACCGGGGGAGCGATTAGGGAGCTCTGCCAGCCGGAGCTCCCTGTCCTTGTCCTGTTCTGGTTCTTTCTCATCACTCTCCTTGCCAGCTTTCTCCTCCGGGTCTGTCACACTCTCAGGACTGTTCTGTAAGAGCCCAGAGCCGCCCCCTCAGTTCCCGTGAAGGACAGCTGGAGGCGGGTGGCAGAGATCTCACACAAGAGCAGGGCCTTGGGCTGAAGTTCCTTCTCTACGCACCGACTTGTGTCTTCTCTTTTTAGCTTTCTTTTTTGGCTTCTTGGCTCTCCGGAGGCCATGATCTGAAGACAGAAACCCCCCACTAAGTTCCTGGGAGAAGGGAGGGACCACCTTTCCTCTGCCAGTCCACCCCTCCGCTCCTCCGCAGACAGGGACCTGCCAAGTCCGGTTTCCCCCCTCCCAGGGACGGGAGGTGCTTCCTCTCCGACAGGTGCAGCCCTCCCAACCCTCTGCCCTCCTGCGCTGTGGCTCCCGGGGCCTTCGCTCAGTCTGGGCTACCTTCTCCAGCTCAACTGCTTACCTGATCCAAGGAGGAGGCGGGAGGATGGGGAGCCCCGTCCTCCAAGGGCAGCACCCCCACTTTCAAATGAATCAAGTGAGGAAGAGGGCTCAGAGCCAGATTCGGAGGGGTTCTGCCGCCTCCTCTTGGGGGGCCGGAGAGACGGTGGGGGCAGCTCCTCCTCTTCCGACTCGGAGCCCTGGGCAAAGCGGCAGGTACATGTCAGGCCGACATCCCAGAGGCCCTCTAGCTGGGAATTGGGGGCAAAGAGGAGGATCCAAGGCCAAAGGAATCCCCAAACCTCCCTCCCAGGGAGATGACATGGAGGAAAATAAGAGTTTCCCCAAGACAGTCCAGTCTGACCCAGACCCTTCTACCCACCACTTACTGAGGGCGAATGGGAACGTTTGCAATGGTGCTTCCTGCCCCTTCTGCCATGCTTCCGGCCTTTCATGTGGAGGTGCTGGCATTCAGTCTGGCAGAGGCAGAGGCAGGGTTAGGGAGGACGGTGTTAGCCTCAGGACTGTCCGGGTTACCTAAGACCTCCCCTCCCTAATGTCCAAGGAAAAGGGGGGGGGGGGGGCGCTCTGGAGCTGCCCTCGGTGTTCCAGCACCGGAGACACTGCGGAGGACCAGAAGCTCTGCCTCACCTCCAGTACCTGCAGGAACTCCCGGAAGAGCCGGATCCGCTCCGACTCCAGGGTTATCTGCTCAAAGGCTGAGTCGCACACAAAGCGCTCACGGACCTTGAACGGGAGAGCACTGCTGATCAGACCAGCCCCGGCAGGCATGGGCTGGGCTGGGGCGGAGGAAGGAAGGGAGCCGGAGCTGGCCCCAGCTGTGCTATGAGTGGGGCGCGCCCCCACTGGTGGAGAAGCACTGCTGCCCTCAGGACCGAGGGGGTGGCGTGTGGTGCCAGGCTGCAGTCCTGACCTCTTCCCAAGCCGTGCCCAGCTCCAGGGCAGGCACGGCCTGCCTCAGCATGCTTCGAAAGGCGGCCTCCCTGCGCCGCAGCCTTCGCGCCGCCTCCTTCTCCCGCTCTCTCTCCCGCGCCTCTGCTTTCTCCAGCAGCTGAGGGCAAAGAGCACACGGCACAGGGTCACCCTGCGGGGCGGGGGCCTGGGCCCCTTCAGGCATACCTCAGGGGGTGGGAAGTTGGGGTCTGGGCTGCTAACGTCATCCCCTGAACGGGATATAGTTACATTGGGGCAGTGAGAGAAGGAATGACGTAATACACAGGGATGAGTTTCAGCAGATGCCTTGGCTACAGCCCCGCCCTGCCCAACCCCTCACACTATTGAAGGTCAGCTTGATGTTGCCTGCGTCCAGCGCAGCAGCCCTCTTGTCAAAGCTTATGACGTGGGCGAAGTCCTCAAAGGCTGTGTTCACCTCCACACAGAAGCCCCGGTCCTGTGGGCACAGCAGCGCATGAAGCCAGGGCACCTCCAGGGCAGGCAGAGGGTCCAACTATAGGATGCTCAAGAAGTCCCCCACCCCAGAGTTCCACAGGACGAGGCTGCATCCAGAAACCAAGCTGTCCAAACCCTCGCCGCCTGATGACAGCACCATGCCTAGCCTTGTGAGGTGGTCACAGGGCACTGGCGGGTTGGATCACAGGGGGAAGGTTGGCGGGAAGCAGGGTGTGTGTGTACCATGCCTACTCACTAATGCCTGAGTTTCTCATAATTAGTTCTTTTTAAAAATCCTATAGACCTGGCATTCCCAGGTGGCTTCCCATTCAAGCACTAACCAGGCTCGACCCTGCTTAGCTTCCAGTATCAGATGAGACGGTAGACTCACAATTAGTTCTCTGTTCCTTTGGCTTAAAGCTTGGGCCCTCCAAGGGCTCAGTAAGTTCCTTGCATTCTCAGTCAACCTCTGCTGGTCCCACTCTTTGGCTGTATGTATTGAGTGCTAGCTAACGTGCTGAATGCTTCATACATGTCTTATTTAATCCTCTCCTATCTAAATGTATACACCGAATCCTAGTCTCCTAATTTTATGCAGAAGGAGAAACCAGAGCATTTGCCCAAAGTCAAATAGCGAGTAAGCATATGGCTGAGTGCAAGCTCTACCTCCGGTCTTTCTAACACCAAAGCCCGTGCTTGGGGGCACTGCACCCACATAGATCACTTGATCCACAGGAGAAACAGGCCACTGAGTGTGCAACTTCTAAACAATATTAAAAACACCTCACATCCTCAAAGCACCACGGGGCAGGCTGTGAATCTCATCTACGATTCACAACACAGAGGCTTAGGAACGTCATCGCACTTGGCCCAAGACAACTGGGTCTGAAGTCTGGCTCTGCAGCTGGGGCACAGGCCCAACTTCCCTCCCTCTCCCTCCACACGGCTCTAACGTGCTCCAGCCTTCCTGCCGATGGCAAAGGCATACTCTTCTTGCTTCTTCCAAGAGGACTTCCTCAACTCACACTCTCCAGTCCTCAAACATCCATCTCTCTTAGGAAGCCGAGCGCTTCAATCTCACCTCTTCCCTGACGCCATCACTCGCACACCTCACTTAGCCTGGAACCTCTCTCCACCCTTCCGCAGGCTTAATAATCTGCTTCTTTTCCTTTGTTTTAAAATATTTAAATGTAGCACAAAGGAAAATGAATAAACATTATTGAGCCTACCCTAAGCAAGACATGACAAGTCTCACACTGTGCACATAAAACTATCCCCATTTTGCAGACAAGGACACAGGTTCAGAGCCGTATAACTTGCAGAGGTTTCAACCAATGAACAGCCAGGAGTTACTGAACTCTTAAAGCTTGTGCTGCACGCACTCTACCCCCTTCGTGGACACTGCTGTCCCAAAGGTGGTTCACGTCCTAGGAGGGCCTTCTCTGTCCAGCACCTCTCCGTTCACTTCAGTGCTCCCCTCCAAGGTCCCCTCCTGTCTCTCTGACCCCCTTTACTGTATCTCTTGCATGCACTTTTGCACCTGAGAACAGCAATTGTCTTTTTAATCGACAATGTCCCTAGCAATCTCATTCTCCACCTCTCTCATTTTCAGACCCATACCAAATTGGGTATTTCATAGGCACTTCAAATTCAGGTCCTAAGAAAATTCATTTCTCATGAGCACCTCTCCGCTCCTCCCCCATATCTCCCAGCTGCTCCAAGTTTGGGGCTCTCTGCATTATCCTCTGGGATGACGCACCACAGTCTGTTCATCTGGTGGATGGCCACAGGGCCTCCTGGGCTTGTCAAGCCTCCTTTGGCAGAATCCCAAAAGGGGAAGAGGATGTGCCTAAAGCAGATTCTTTCTCCAGAGGTGTGGAGAGATGGAACTCAGTGATAGGCCTCTGCAGGCCTGTCAGTAGTACCAGAGCACTTGTACTAAAAGTTAAGCATCCAATTAAATTTAGCTCTCCTGGGACTAGATTTCTACTTTATACGATTACTAGAGGCCTGATGCACAAAATTTGTGCAAGAGTAAGCCTTGCTTCTGCTGGCTGCTGGCACCAGCTTCCCTCTGGCGCCTGAGACTCGGGCTTTCCTCAGGCCGCCAGCAGGCAAACACCCAGGGCCCGGGCTTCCCTCGCAGCCCCTGCTTTGTCCAGAAGGACATCTGGTCTGATTAGCATATTATACTTTTTTTTATTATAAAAGATTCTATTTAATATGTAGTGCTTAGTTTATTCCTTCTGGCCCCCAGGTTGTTTTTAAGAATAAATTCCCAAATGGAATTCTTATTTTCTCCAGCCCAGTTCTAGTTCTTCCTTCTTAATCCTTACCAATGGTGCCATCATCCCTCTAGCCTCACTCCTTCCTTACCCTCAATTCCACTCACACACACAGATCTGCCAATTTTACTTCTGGGTGATTATCCTACTATTTTAAACTTCCATTTTTTTTTAACAGCAGAACCCACCCCCCCCCCCCCCGAAAATAAAACCTTATGCAGAACCTTGATATATAAGAGAAGCTACTGTGCATGTAAGCAGGAAAGAGCGTACCATTCAATCTGTCCTCCCTCACCCCCATGCTTGTCCCAAGGCGCCTCTGAGGAAACCTAGGGAGTCTCAGAGCTGGGCCACCTCCGCGCTCTCACCTGCCAACCCATGTCCTGCCTGAGCTCACTCCCCACCCAGACCACTATAGTAGCCTCCCGACTGCTCTCCCTGCTCAGCCCACACCTGACCCAGCCTTGAGAATCCAGGGCTGCTCACACTTTTCTATCTCATGGCCCCAGCAGAGCAGTGGTCTTGGGGGGGGGGGGGTGTTTAGGAGAGGATGACTCAAGCTCAAATTTCATTTTAATTTCTTGCCACTATCATTTTTAGTATCCTGAGGCTTCAGGTACTAGCCTATTCCTAAGGATACAAACACAGTCTGAGAGGTCATTATCTGAGCAGATCATTCCCCAGCTCCCAGATAAAAATCCAAATTTTAACATTCAAGGAATTTACACAGAGGGCTCTACTTTCAAACTGGGACATGTGGTTCCAAAGAAACAGAGGAAGCGATAGGACAACATGGTATGTCTAACTTAAGGTCAGTAATTTTAAAATATTAAGTTTATATTAATTAGAGAAGCAACACGGTATCAAAATGTAATACCTGCATAAATTTATAAGGCAAAACACATGGAATGCTGAGTGTGCAGTGGGACATTTTTAGCTTTATTCTCAGATCTTTCTCACCTCATGTACCAAGTTACTGCCCTTAGTAATTAGCTATACCTTGGTGGAAAACACCCATTTGTCAGATGAGAAAGCCGAGGCTCAGAAAGGTTAAGTAATCTGCCCTTAGTCACACAACTAGTAAGTGGTTAAACTGGATTTTTACCCCAAGTAGTCTGCCTTCATGCTCCTAACAACTATGCCTACTGCCTCCTCACATGCATTATAATGTTCTTCACTTCCACTAAGAAGTATGCTTTCTCTGTTTTCTTCATCAGAAACACAAGGCTCTCATAGTCCATCATCACTTTTCCACCTTTGATAGACATAGATATCCAGAATTATTTCTCCAGTGTAAGAATAGTAAAGTGTATGTGTGATGGTAAACGTTCACTGAACTCTCTGCCATGACAGGGAGTGACACTAAGGATGCCATACCCCTTCCAAGAGACAGTGGCATCTCAGCTGGAGTCCACTGAATGCCTTGCAAAACCAGTCCAGTGCTACTAAACAATCCAAATTTCCAAAAGAAGCTGAAGATGTGCAACTGTTGATCTTAAAATGTTAGCAAAAATTCCAAACTTTTCTAAAGCACTGTGCAGACCAGAAGGAACTATCTCTGGCCTTTGATTAATGATGCTTCTTGCACCTGTAGTTCCTTACGCCCAGGACCTCCACCCTCCTCCAGCTAGTTACTCTTAAAAGTGCATTTTAAATGTTAATTCTTCTGATTCTTGTCTCTGTAATAATGCTTGTGCCTCTGTATAATGGTGTCACATCTATCTTCCTATTAGGCTGTGAGCTCCTTCTGGGCAGAAATGGTATCTTACTCATCTTTGTCCCCAGGCCACATAAAGGATCACAGTAGCTGCTACTGAACTGAGCTGCGATGCTCCTGCAAAGCAGGACTTCTCAGGGAGTCCTGTCTGGAACATGCCCTGAACCCAGCCTGCATCCCTCCTCAACGACAGGCCTCCCTCACCTTAAGGATGTCCTTAATGATCTTCTTCTCATCATGGAACCGTGCCTTTAAGTCCTCCACATAGAACTTGAACAAGTCCAGAGGGGTGGAGCCTGCGGGAGGAGGTAGGGAGGGGGGCCTGGCGGTGGCAGCTTCCCGAGGCCTGAGGGTCGGGTCAGGACCCAGGAGCAGGGATGCAGAGAGGCTGGCCGGGCAGGAAGCCAGGCCAGAGAAGGGGAGCCCAGCTGTCTTACCCGGCTGGCCCAGCATGTTGGCAAAGCGGACGTCAGTGCTGACCGCTGGGTACAGCTCCATCCAGGTGGACATAGAGTGCAGCTGCCCTGTCTCATGCAGCTCATCTAGGAAGGTCTGTGCAGGGAAAGGCCGGTTAGAGGGAGAGTGAGACAGGGAGGAAGGCAGAGCCAAAGGAGGAAGAGAGGAGATGGCAGGAGAGGCGGGGACAATCCAGATTGAGGAAATGCAGGCCAGGGAGCCAGCGATGAAGAGACACAGATGGGGAGGCAGAGAGCAGTGGAAAAGGAAAGAATGTAAATACAGAGAGGGACAGACTAAAACATGGGGTGAGCCAGGCTGGGAGGCAGACACAAAACTTGCCTGTAGCACAACCTTCCTATGACTTGGCTTCAACTTCGCTTTGTGTTACCGCCACTACCACCACATTTGCCACCTCAAACCTGGAGGATAAGCTTTGCCTGTCTGGCTCCCCACCAAAGGCAGATAAGCAGCCTCGCTGCCAAGCTGCCTTTAGGGTACTCTCTGCTGGGTTTCTAGGTGCATACATCCCATCTCCCTACAGGAGCAAAGCCAAGTTGAGGGGACACAGCATGGGAACCTATAGCAGAAGGCGGTCTTGTGGAGACAGACAGAACTGAGCACAGACAGAACAGTGGGCCTGCTATGGTCCGGGGCAGAGCCGAGCTCTTTCAGGGGGCGGCAAAGATACCTGGAAGGCCTCCCGGTTCTTGCGTTGCTGGCGCCGCTCCCTAAGCCGGGCCCGCTCCCGCTCCTCCTCCTCCTCCCTCTCCAAAGCTCGGATGTGCTCCTCAAAGCAGATCAGCGCATCTTCCTTGTCCATGTCTAACCACAGAGAGGAGGCTCAGCAGACATTGCACCAGTGGGATACCCTCTCGGTACCCCGCAGCGCCCCCTCCCCTCCCCGCTTCCAGGATGCTGCCCTGTAGGTGCTGGGGACAGCCAGAATGTGGGCAATGTGAAAAGAGGGCTCTGTGGGAGGGAGTACTGGAACGGTTGTTCTTGAGGAGAGATCATTAATTGCATAAGGAAAAAATCAGCAAGAATTCGGCTCTTGTAAATTTGGTTACCAAAGTCGTCATGTTTATGAAATCAGTTCTCTTAGGACCTAAGGTTTCAGTTTATGGAACTGGGAATCAATCAGGCTGTGGTCCAGTTTTAGAAAGTGTATTTCTAATATTGCCAGTGATTACATTACAGGCCAACAGCAGTTTATTGTAACACGTGTGACCAGTTATTGCCCACTGTGCCATGACAGTTTAAGAATTCACATTAGCTATAACAGCCCTCATCTCCAGGTCTTCTGATTCCTATCCCAAGTTCTTCTTCCAAGGACACACTTCTTAGATCAACAGTGGACCCAGAGGGAGAGGGTAATCTGAACATTCTGGCATCTCCAGAATCCAGAGAGCACAGGGACTGAGTGCTGGGGACCCCTAGATGTCCGGGAGAACAGGAGGTACAGGTGACATGTGTGAATTAGGCTCTGGGGACCCAGGTCAGTGATGAAAAGGGAAAGGGCAGGTGGGAGTGCAGGCCTGGCTTACTCTGAAGCTGATGGTCCTGAGCAAAGCTGGGGTTATCCATGAGGTACTGCTGGGCCTGGGACCATGTGGTTTGGAAGTTGACGCTACTCATCCCATCCAGGATGCTCTTCAGGGCCTGGATATTGCGGCGCCGTAGCTGCTTGGCCTGTTCCTGGAGAGGCAGGGCAGGCCGAAGTACTTAAGTGGTGCTGGGCAGAGGAGGATTTGGGGAAAGGAAGGTAGCTAGGGAACCCTAGGAGGGCCAGATGCAAGGCTTTCATGTACCCAGAAAGGGGAAGGAGCACAGGTTACAGACCAATCCCTCAGCGAGTCCTTCCCGCCCTCCAATGCCCCGGGTTATAGGCCCAGAACAGAAATGAAGGAATGTGCAAGTGCCACACCAGCTTCAGAGTAAGGAGCTAGGACCCTGGGGCATCGGAGAAATTAATGACCCTGGTCCATAAGGAGCAAAGAAATGAAGACTCTAAGATGAGACTGGGGCTGATGGATGCAGCCCATGACTATTACCTTCTCCTTCTTGGCCAGGAAGAAGAGGACATCATCATAAACCTCTTTTCGATCCCTCTCGGGGACCACAGCCCAGACCTCCAGCTCCCCAAAGGTCTGTTCTGCCCGCCTGTGGAGCACATGAGCTGTGGGTAGGCAGGCAGAGACCAGAGGCCCTGGGCACATGTGGTCTCAGGGTCCCACAGCCCCGCCCCAGCCCGGGCCCCTGACCGGTAGCGGGTGGTGGAGGTCATGCGCTCGTGCTGCTCCAGGAAGTGCTGCAAGGTCTGCTTGGCCTCCTTGGCCCTCAGCCGCGCCTCTTCCTTCTCCTCCTTCTCCCGCTGCGCCTTGTAGGCATTAAATGCCTGCTTTTTCTCACTCAGTTTGGGCAAGGCACTGGGTGGGAAGAGGAGTCAGCCTGAGCCACCCTGTGGTTCATGCATGGCACTCTGGGAACAGGTCTCCACCAACTCGAGTGAGGGGTCTACCCGTGGGCACAGCAGGCTGCAGGGGCCTGGGTACAGGGAGGCAAGAAAAACCTCTGGGAAAGGGTGAGAGGCAGTGAAAGGAACGGATGGGTTCCAGGACACTGATAATACCTTATGCTTTGGGGTGCTCAAATTATAGTCAGGGATATGCCCTAACCTTCCCCCAATTAATTCAAATCAATTCAACAAGCATTTATTGAATGTCTCATATCAGATACCTTTCCCTCCGGGAGGTCTTCCATAGCTTCTCTTCCCCTTGAACCTTCACTCATCTACCACTCTCCTCACCCTGGCCCCTCGGAGCCCAAGTATCGAGCTGGGGCTTCTCAGGGAGTCCCTGACCAGCTTCTCTCATGAACAGGGTCTGGAGGCCTGGCTCCCTCTGCCCAGGCCTACCTGTAACGGGGGTCGGTGACTACCATCTTCATGGCCTGTTCCCATGAGGCATTGGAGGGGACAGCCTGGAATGGAGCAGTGGGTGTCACAGAGCCTGGCCCCCTGTGGCCCCTCCAGGCCCACCCTGGGAACCCTGACTCCCGTACCTTGTCCCTCAGCAAGTCCTTAAAGGCCTGCTTGGCCTTCTCACGGTTACTCCAGCTGAGGCCAGACCGCTCCGGTTCTGGCTTTGACTCCTCTTCCTCTTGTTGGGGCTGATGCTGTCCAGCAGAACTGGGGAAGCAAAGGAGGTTCAGCCACCACATCCCCAGCCCCGGTAGGTTTCAGGGTCATGGCTGATCACCGCAAGCCGCCTGTTTCTTGCTCCCTAAGCAGACTTTTTCTGCCTTTCAGAGGTCATGCCCAGATCCCACACCCTTTCCAAGAGGCCGAGCAGAGGTAAAGGGCTGAACCAGGCTGGCAGCCGAGGCCAGCATCCAGAATGCTGTGGGGACAGCCTCACCTGCTGGGGCCCTCCTCTGGCTGCTGCAGGAAGCCCTGCTCCAGGGGCTGGACAGCATTTGACGCAGCGCAGTCTTCACTCCCACCTGGCTCAGGTTCTAGAAGGCCCACCGGCAGCGGGGTGGGGCCAGGAGGCGCAGGTGGGGGGTCAGGCTGTGGCTGAGGAGGCTGCGGCTGCAGTGTCTGGGGCTGCTGCTGCTGTTTCCTGCAGGCGAGCCAGAAGGGCAGAATCCAGAATGGAGCAGGGAGAGATGGTCAGGGGCTGGCAGGACTCTAGCCTGAGAAGAGCTGGGGACAGAGTGGCCCACTTCTCAAGGAGACAGAGCTCGCTCTTCCTTCCAGAGAGGGATCATGGGGAGAGAGTCCACTTCCACCCTCAGGTGGTCCCAAGTATGGAGGGATAGGTGGGCAAGATGAGCAAGTTACTCACCCTACAGCCTCTTGTTTGACTAGAGCTGCAATGGGAAAAGATACATGGTCACCAGGCGGCAAGGGCACCTTCCACAGCCCCCTCTCCAGGCCCCCCATCCTCACCCTCGAGGTCATCCAGGTCCTTCGGCCGGGTCCAGCGGGACTCCTTACTCTGGTTGTTATAGTAGTAAGGTTTGCCCGTGTCCGACTTGTACTCTCTCCAGGGACTCTGGGACAGCAGCAGCTGTAAGACGGGGCAGACATCAGTGGGCTGATGGAGCTAAGGTGACGCTGTGAGTATAGGGACCCAGGAGTTTTAGCCACCATCTGGCCTGGCTCAGCATGGGGCAAGGTGGACTTCCTGAGATCCTAGGAGGTTAGGGCTGTCGGGGATCTTGGGATCAGAGGAACTGTAATGTGTATGGTTTATAAACTCAGGGGAGATCAAGCATTCAGAAGGGTCAGGGCAGCTGAAAGGAAGGGCCAGAAAGCCTAGCTCAGGACCTCCGCCTTGGACTTGAGCACGCTGGGCTTCTCCCACACGGACTGCTTGTCGTCAGCATTGTAGTAGTAGATGCGCCCATCAGGGGCTACATGCTCACTCCATAGGGCCCTCTGGGGGGAGGGGGGTGCACAGAATGGTGGTCAAGGCCCCTTTCCCAAAGCTTCTCCTCACCCCAAAGACTGAACCATTAGCCCCCCACTTTCAGCCTTTCTACCCAGAGATCCCTGAGCTGGAAGAACTCACCAGAGGGCCTGTCCCAGTCACAGCAGCTAGAAAAGAAGCCAAAGGAAAGATACTGAGTCCTTGCTCCAACCTGCATCTTATCCCCATCTAGTCCTCCCTTACTCCATCCCCAATATAAACCCCTGGTCCCATCGACATCCCAGGTTCCCTGGCATCCCAACAGGCATGATCCAGGGTGGACTCTAGTCCCCTCTCCCCTGTACCCCCCGACCTCCGAGCCTGGGGGGAGCAGGCCCCCAGAAGACTCACAGCTGGCGGTGTCCACACCTGGAGCCGTCTGCCGAAGAAAGAGGAGGGGGAAGGGTTGGGGCCAAGCCCAGTGGCCCCCAGGACCCAGGCCATGGGGGACAGAGAAGCAGGCCAGGCCAAGATCCATGTGTCCTGCTACCTAACACGCTTCCCCCACTTCCTGGGTGGTGGCTCTCGGATCCCCGGGGGGAATCACACAGCAACTCCTTCGTTTTCCTCAGTGAGAGTATTTTCTTGAGACCCATCCCTTCCACAGTGGATGCCAAATTCTACAATACATCCTACCCAGACTACTGCACTGAGCAACAGCACAAGAAGGTACAGCGAGATCCCCAAGTGCTGTTGTTTTCTCCTAAAGAGACATGAAGAGGGACTCTATTTAAGTCCACAGCCCTGGCTCTGTGAGTCAAGCAATCTGGCATGAGTGTGTTCCTTAAGGGAGATGGACACAACGGCGAATAACAACAGAAAATGTACATGCCTTTGGGGGAGAGGGAGAAACAAGAAGAGCTAAGTACACGGCTGGAGAGGTCTCCAGTGTGGGGAATGCTGACAGGGACCACGATGGATCCGATGAGAAGAGAGAAAGAATGGAGGCCATATTCCTGAACTCCAAATCAGACCCCACAGTGCTGTAAAACAGAGCTGCTTCCTGCTGGCCCCAGTGCTTACCGCTGCGGTGACAGGCACTGCAGGCATCAGCATTCCTGGCATCATGGGAGGTACCATTCCTGGTATCTACGGATATAAAGACAAAAACCAGCTACTGAGGCGGAGGCAGGCACAGGCTTGGCAGGACGATTCAGCTGTGTTCAGGATCTTCACATGGGCACCTCCTCAGGCAATGCCCTGAGGGATTAAGGGCTTCTGGCCTAGCCTGAGAGTTTTCTCCAGTCATTCAGCAGACAAATCCACATGGGCCTGACCCAAAGCTCCCTACCCAGTTCCTGAAGTCCAGACCCCCAGCTCTCATCTCCATCCGCAGATAAACTGAGTTTTCCTGAGATCCTGGTGCAGAGAAGAGGATCACCTGTGTGAGTGGTGGTGGTGACCCCATTGGTGGTAGCATCGGGGGCATGATGCCAGGTGGCATGGGGGGGATGGCTGGTGGTCTCTGACTCATGGGTGGTAGCCCCATCGGAGGGAAGGGCGGAGGGATTCCTGGAGGGGGCATCTGGAATGGAAAGGAGGAAAATAAGAGATGCTGAGCAGAGAAGATACCGCCTTGCTTCTGGCAGAAAACATCCACTTGTCTCTCACCTGAACCTTCCACCCTGGCTCTGAGACAAGTTCAAAGTCTAGCTTGCTAAGCCCAGAGTATGAAACTGCCACCCTCCTCACCACTAAGAAAGACTGGCAACTGGGGGGTCCTCTGGGTCTAACAGGCAAGCACACAGCTTCCTGAGGTAGGGAAGGGAGAAGGAAAAGAAAAGTATAACCAACACCAGCCTGCAGCTGGAAGGCTCCATGTCTTTTGCAGCTCTCCTCAGAGGCTTCTCAGATGCAGGGCCAAAAGGCATGTGTCCAGTTCCCTGCCTCCCACCCCTTCTTCTCCACCTCAATGACTATCAGTTGCTAGTCCAGCTTGACTGATGTGGCATATTTTTAAAATACAGAGAAGGAGTAAAAGAGACAGACAGCCCTCCCTGCCCTCACACTACCGGGGTCTTTCCACTTCCCCGCTGGCCCCAGTACGTCCCCAGGACAAAACACGAAGGACGAACTGTCAATGTTATGAACGGAGAGCTGAACAGCAGGTCTCCTACCCCAATACCCAGCAAAACCATCCCTCTTCCAAGGGTAGCAGAAAAGGTTTTTTACACGAAAACCGTGCAGTAGTGCGGGGGCCTGGGGAGTTAAGGGTGCAGGCTGAAAAAGCCAAGCCCAGGGAAAGTCATGAAACTTACGAAGGGTGGTGGCATCATGGGGGGCCCCGGTGGGAAGGGGGCAGGCGCTGCTGGGGGCCGGGGACCAGAATCGGGAACCGACTGTTGAGGGAGAGAAAAGTCATAGGATCCAGGATGGGCAAAGAGATGAGAGTTTGCAAAAGGGAAGCAGAAGGGTGAGGATAAAAAAGGAGCATATATTTCAGAGAAAGAGTCCCCAAGACCAACTTCTGCCGACTCCCAGCTCTGAGCCCGGGAGAGGTCTGCTCTCTCTTCCACCAGCTCAGAGCCAGCTGGCTGAGCCCTTCAATGTCATCTTTAATTTAGAAGTTTCCATTTTGCCAAAGCCTCAGAAAAGTTGGAGGCTGTACTACAGGCATTTCATCCACTCTCCTGTCTGTAGGCAAAGCTGTGCCTCCCTCAGACCAGTTAAATGCGGCCTCTCATTCATAAAATATCCAGGCAGCGGTCTCTTTTCCTGTTTCCCCACCTAAATTCAGCCAGGTACAGAGCCCTCTAAACACAACTAATAACTAGTCCTTCATAAGTACTAGTCTCCCTAACTCTCCTCTCCCTCCGCTATCTGGCCTCAATCTTTAGTCAATCACTCTTTGATACCTTCCACTCGCAATCACCTCCTTCATCTCTTTAGATGTACTCCTCCTCCCCTCCAGATCCTGACCTCCCCTCCCTGTGGGTGAGGCTTTGGATAGCCTAGGTTTCCCCATCGCATACCGAATGGCTAGCCACGTCCCAGCCTTTAGTTCTCAGCTTAAATATCACTTACTCTAAGAAGTCTTCCTGACTCTAAAGCAGATCCTCCCAATTTATTCTGTCTGGTCTCCTTTTTTGTTTCCCTTTAATAGAGGGTAATATCATTCCACAGGGCAGGGATCATATCTGATTTGTTAAAAGTTGGATTCCTGGAACCTACAAGAATATCTGGCACATAATGGGCACTCAATAAATAGTGGATGGATGAATGACAAGTGAGAGAACAAAAACACTCTCTATATAGAACCTTTCAGCTCTAAATATTCGTCCTACAGATAAAGCCCCATATGGCCAAAATGATGTCTATACAAGATTTCCAGTTCAGCATTATTTGTAAAAACGAAAGATTAGAATCAGCCTAAATATCCACCGATACGGAACAAAATTACAAACATAAAATGGAATACTATGCAGTCATAAAAAAGAATGAAGCTCATTGTCTATATGAAACCACCTCTAAGATATATTAACAAATGGGGGGAGAAACGAAGTGTTGTGAAGTTTCATCACTTGTATAAAAATCGGACACAAAAGATGACAAATTGGTGGGAGGGGTACTGAGGTGGGAAGGAGATTTATCACTCTGCCCTTCTGTAACTTTTGCACTCATATGACTATGTCACCCATTCGAAAAATTTTAAGTAAACTGAGGTGTGGAGATGCAGCCAAAAGGCCCTGCCACTCCTCCTCTTTGCTTGGAAGGAAGGGGTGGTAGGGAAGAGACCCAGGGAAAGATGACCCAAGAGCCGCCTCACTGCTCCCAATGGTTCCTATGTTGAGAAGTCTCAGCTCTTTTTCCTTTAAAGGCAGGCACCAGAGTCCTGCGTAGTGCTCACTGTCCCTCTGGCCTCTGGCCTCTCCTTTTCTTTTCTTTTTATTTACTTATTTATTTTTAACATATCTTTCTCATTTTTAAAAAAAGATTTAATAGCATGGGTTTTCTTAATTGATTTCAGAGAGGAACGGAAAGGGAGAGATAGAAACAACAATGATGAAAGAGAATGATTGATCAGCTGTAGCCCGCACCTCCCATACTGGGTATCAAGCCCGTAACCTGGGCATGTTCTCTCACCAGGAATCAAACCACCATCTGGTTTGAAGGTCGGTGCTCAACCACTGAGCCACCCAGGCTGGGACTCTGCCTTTCTTTACTTCCAAGGCACATCAAGCAATCTGCCTAAGAAATCTCAGCTTTTAAAAATACTTTCTAATTTCTACCTTTACCGATAAGTGTGCCTCCTCTCTTCCTTGTCCTAAGGAAAGAAGGGGTAAGCCAAACTGCTCCAACTGGAATCACCTTTTCTCAGAGTTCAACTGCTCTAGTCTTGTATCAGACCTGCTCCTCCCTCAATACTTTCCTCAGCATGAGGAGTCAGAAACTAATCATATAAGAAGAAATCAATTCTTTGTGCCACACTCCCCACCTCAAGCTGCCTGAGGATCATCCTACCTTCCCAAATGCTATGTAACTATCTTTATGGTCCTACCAAGCATCAGGGGTTTGTTGCCCATGTCAGAGACTGGTGCTCCCAGTTGTCCAAGATTAGAAATATGAGTGTCACTCTCCACACCTCCCTCTTCCTTCTCAATACATCACTGAGTCCTATTAACTTTACCTCCTGAAGATTTATAGAATTCATATCCTCCCCTCCATTTCCTTCTCCTCACCTACCAACCCTTTCAGCGGGAATCTCACTCAAACCTGCAGCTATAATGAGCTCATCAAAACGCACCTCAGGCCCTACCAGTTTGGCTCAGTGGATAGAGCATTGGCCTGCAGGATTAAAGGGTTCCAGGTTTGATTCAGATCAAGGGCACGTGCCCATGTTGTGGGCTCAATCCCCATGAATCTCTCATCATTGATGTTTCTATCTCTCTCCCTCTCCGAAATCAATAAAAATATATTTTTAAAAATGAATCTCAGACCATGTTACTTTCCTGCTTAAAACTCTTCAATGGCTTCCCACTGTTCTTCGTGTAAAGACAAAGCCTCTGCCTAGGACCTGGGAGGCTGTAATAGATTTGCTCCCACTGCCTTGTCAGACTCCCCCATGCTTAGCTCCTGGGTCCGTGCTCCACCACACTCACCTTCTCTCAGTTCTCCGCCTCAGCATTCACCTTCTCGTGGGGTAATCTTCCCACCAACCCCACCCATCTCAACTATTTATCCTTCACACCTATTGGCCATCATTTCCTCAAAAAGTCTTCCTCAGCCCAGACCAGTCAGTACCTCCTTCACATGCTTGGACACCATATACCTTCCCCATCAGCAATTATCCATTGGAATTTTAGTTTTTTGTACAATTCTGATTTACTATTATTGGCATTAACAAAAAACAAATGCCTGCCAATTAAATCATGCTACTCCATTGATTTTTAGATGCTTCTTGCCTTCAGAAATGTTAGATTCTGAGTCTTGGAATCAATGAAATATCTGCTTTCTGCCTCACTAGGCTGGAAACTCTAAGGGGCAGACTTTAATCTGCTTTTGCTCATCCCAATGTCCTACCCTCATTGATTTCCCTCACTCCCTGCTATTGACACACAGTAGGTGCTAACAAATATTATTGCCTTAATGGCTGGATGGTCTTGACAAGTCCCACAAGACAAAGTCAGTGGCAAGGCCTAGTATCCCTAGCATCCAGCGAACACAGGATCCCAGAGATGGAGAGGGGACTCTGGCAACCACCCAAGGTAGCCCCCTTTTTTCAGATAAAAAAACGAGGGGGAATAATAATTCCTACAGCTGGTTAGGGACAGAGCCAAGACTAGATCTAATCTGTCTTCCAACCCTACTCCCTTAAAAGCACAGTCCTTGCCACAGGAAACAGGTCTGTTTTTTCACTCCAACATTTCCCCAGAAACCCATGTAGTTAAATCAGCAAGGATCCAACATTTCCTTCCTTGATAATCAGTGGTGGGTCTCTACTGCCCACCCTACAGATTCTCTCATTTAGCATTCAGTCTTTCAATAAGGCCCATGCCGTAACTCTTCTTGACTCTTCCTGATTCAATGGCTTCCCTTCTCCCTTTTACACACAAATTACTCCATGTGTTTCTTTTATTCCACTTTGTCTCTCACCTTGTTCAAGATGATCCAAAATTCACCTCTTTTGGGTTACCTCTATGACTGTTTTTCACACACACACACACACACACACACACACACTCCTGTCTACTTATGTCCTCTCGGGGAAAATGCTGCACTACTTTGCACCCAGCAACAAGCTACTCTGTAGATGTTTCTTTACACCACACTTTCCCACCTCAAACTGCCTCAGGATCCTGGGACTGCCTGTCGCCCTACTTGGGTGGAGATTTTCCTACATTCAGAGATTGCGTTTTCTTTTTTAAGCCTCCTCTGAGTGTCTAGTCAGGGCCCTGCTCACAAAGTGCTGTGACAAAATGCAGACTCATCCTTAACCTTATTCGATTTTTGCATACTGGAATATTCTAATAGGCAAGTGTTTGTGTGTGTGTGGCTAGAGGGAGTGAGGGGAAGATGTGTGTGCATGTGCCCAGGTACCTTTATATAAATTCTCTGGGTAAAGGCTGACTGTGATGAGACAGAGAAGCAGCTTGGCAGAGATCTGTGTGGCTGTGGAAAGGGAACTGGAGTTAAATACTGGCTTGGAAAAACCTAAATAATGAAAAACTAAGTGTATATGACCATCTTTAACTTGGAATGGAGATCCCTGGCAAGGTTCCAGACACTGGCCTGTTTCTGGATAGAGCAATAACATGAACATGAATTTCTATGAAACTTCCAAAGCCCTCCCTTTGCTAAGCCTCCCTGTGCGATGTGTATGCTTTCTTTCTTTCCTTCCTGAAACATCCATTCCCCTATCTATTTTGCTGCAGTGCAGGTACAACTTTGGATCTTATTACACTTCTGGGTGAGAATCTGAAGTAACTCATGTGAGAAAGAGATATAAGAAAGGGGGCTGAAAGAGAAGCAGACCCTGTGTCCTCCTTGGAACAAAAACACATTTGTGGGCTGGGGAGAGAGGATAAAGACAACTGATCATCTGATCATGTGTTCACCTGGACCAGTGGAAAGATACCCCTCGAAGATGCAATCAATTCTCATCCTCTACTTCTAAGGGACATCTCAGAATTGAAGATTCAAGAAGAAAAAAGGACAAGAGCAGAGAAAGAGAAAGAATGGAAAGAGGAAACGATTGCCCTGACTGGTTTTCTCAGTGGTTAGCGTGTCAGAGGGTTCCATTCCCCATTAGGGCCAAATTGCCAGCTCAATCCCCAGCAAGGGGCATGCAGAAGGCAGCCAATCAATGATTCTCTCTCATCACTGATGTTTCTATCTCTTTCTCCCTTCCTCTCTGAAATACACACACACACAAATGTATATATTTATATATGAGAAGGCATACCCCTATTTTGTAAAAACTGCTGTCTGGAATTCTCTGCTGTTTTTCTTAGACGGCCTCTTATTCTAAAAAATAACTTTGCTTTCTAGCCTGCTTTAGCTTGCTTGAATAATGAGGACAATAAACTTAACTGTCTGACCTTGTAGGTCAGACTAGGTATGCCCATAATTTTTAGAACTGTGTTTGTTTTCAAAGACAGCAACGAGATAACCACTAATAGCACAGAGGGCTGGCTCCTTAATAAAAAGGGAAGTTCTGCTTGTAGCTTTGCTTAGAATTTGAATTCATTTTCTCTAAGCCCACCACGGTGAATAAAGTGTATCTCCAAACTCTCCTGCATTGATTATTCCAGTTCTCTGTATATATATATATCATGTACCATGGTTGGTTTGGACCCTGGTCAGAGCATGGGTGCTGGTTGGGTTGCATTCGGGAGGCAACCAATTGATGTGATTGATGTTTCTTTCTCTCTCCCTTCTACTCTCTCTAAAAAAAAATGACTGGATGGCAGCTGCCCTCTTAGCGTAGTAGGCAGCACGTCAGTCTCATAAAAAAAGACTGGAAAAATATTCTCAGGTGAGAATTTTAAAAAAGAAGGAAATGGTAGCAGCTAATAGCTAATATTTATTGAGTGCTTATTATGAGCCAAATACCATGACAAACATTTAATCCTCACAACCATCTTAGACGTTATTATCCCCATTTTATAAAGAAACTGAGGTTCAAAGAAATTAAATGGCAGGTGACCCCAAAGTCAGTGCTTTCAAGTACTTCAAAACACTCCCGTCTAGCAAGAACGATGGTGCCACAGGTATTTCTTTCATTCAGATTCACTGGTTTGTTTTTCATGTTCACTTCTTTTTATTTTTTTAACTGAATTTATTGGGGTGACATTGGTTAATGAAATTATATAGGTTTCAGATATCGTTCTGTTTTCTTCCCCAAGCCTCACACAATTCTGAAATCCTCACACAGCTAGATGATCCCGAGGTTGCTCAGGTCTGACTCAGTCCTTGAAGAGCTTTGTGTTGGTAAAGGAAGACTGAAAGGCACATCTCTCAGAAAGAGGGAGTCATCACCATGAAGAAAAGTATCATGGAGGCTGAGACCAGCTGACGACCTGGCATGTGGTCTATCCACACGCTGCCCTTCCTCACCGGCCTCCACAGCATGAGCCTTCCCTCTCTCCTTTCAAGACCATCCTAGTCCCCCCTCTCCTGAGCCAGCGGTATGCTTCCTGCTTGCAAAGATACTGTTTTACTACAATATATCTTCCACTGCTGCCGTCTAACCTGCCATTTTATTCTCCCTCTGAAAAACAAAATGCTACTCCTGGCCTCCATCTTTCTGGGTTAGGCCTCAGCCTCCTCCTCCTCCTGAGAGAGGTCTCCCATCCCTCCAGCAGGATGCAGACCGCAGGCTCCGGCCTCCCCTCCCCCACCTCCCGGGGGATTCTCTGCAGCCCCAGCTGAAGGCCGGCCTCCATCTTCATCTTTTGTTTCCCGTCTTAGAACACAAAATCTCTCCTCAAGAGCCACTCCAGTGTGTAGCTGGAAGGGATGTGGGCTATCCTTCTCAACCACCCCCCCCCCTTTTTTTTTCTACGATAGGAAATCTGAGGCCCAGAGCGAAGTAGTGACTTGCCCAAGGTCACACAGAGTTGTGAGTTAGCTGAGGGCAGAGCCAGGACAGGGACCAGGGCCCTGCGCTCCTATTTCTGGGGCTCTCCAGCCCCGGGGGGCAGTGCCCCCTCCTCCCCTCAGCAGACGAGGCGAGGCTGAGAGGGTCTCGGGAAGGAACACGCACCGAGTCTGGGGAGGAGCGTGTCGCACGCCAGATATCCCAGGAGAAACGGGGGCTCCCGGCTCCCCGCTTGCCCCGCAGTTCCCACATCTCCTGTCCCCTACCTCCTTTCCCGGCCATTCTCCCCAAGCCCCCCCTTCACTCCTTCCTTCTCTCCTCACCCAGTCACGCAATTCCCATTCCCCTCCCGGCCCCCTCCCGCCATTCTCCATCATGGCCTTTCCCACCCCTTCTCCCCAAATCCCGGACCCCCTGCCCCCTCCCGGGCTCCTCGCCCTTATCCCTCAAGTCCCTAGCCCTCCCTCGGGGTCCCGCGTACCCCCGGCGGCCTCCCCGCCCCCCTGGCCCCGGCCCGGGGCGCGGGGGGGCGCCGTGGAACCGCCCGGGCCCCGCCACCCCCGCACGAGAACGTTACCATGCCGGGGCCTCGGAGCAGCGGAGCCGGCTGCGCCCACCCGCTAGTAAGAGCCTCTCTGATTGGCCAGGCAGCCGCCGGGAAGGCGGGACCAGGAGGGGGTCGCACCCCTTGGTGGCCGGGGCTCCCGGCGCTCGCGTCCACCAGCCGGGCCCGCACCGGCCCCGAGCTCCCGGCCCGGCCCCGCCCCCGCCCCCCGGCGCGGAGAGCTGCCCCGCCCCGCGCGGGTCCGGCCCCGCCCCCTGGAGGCGGCGGCACCTGCTCCGGCTCCGACTGACCGCCTGCGCCGACGCCCGACCGCACCGGGCAGCAGCTCCGTCCTCCCCGCCCTCCGCCCCCGCCCCGGCCGCCGCCCGACCTCGGCCGGCCGCTGCCCAGCTTCGCCGCACTAGGCGCTCGGAGCGGCGGCATTCCTTGCGCTCGCTCCCAGGACCAGGGCCTGAACCGAAGTATTTATTCCGAGTATAGTTAAGGCGACCAGACGTCCCGCTTTTGGCGGGACAGTACCGATTTTTAACAATTTGTCCCGAGTTGTTGCGGGACGCAGAACAAATTGTTAAAAATCGGGCCGCCTGGCCGAAACTGGTTTGGCTCAGTGGATAGCGCGTCGGTCTGCGGGCTGAAAGGTCCCGGGCTCGATTCTGGTCAAGGGCGTGTGCATTGGTTGCAGGCACATCCCCGGTAGGGGGTGTGCAGGAGGCAGCTGGTTGATGTTTCTCTCTCGTCGACATTTCTAGCTCTCTATCTCTCTCCCTTCCTCTCTGTGAAAAATCAGTAAAATATTTTTTTTAATCGGGACGTCTGGTCACCTTAGTATAGGTGTATCAAAGCATGTTTTTATACCATGCGTAGTTATTGTTAATACTTTTTAGTTTATTCACCCAACAACTACTTATTGAGCCTGATATGTGTCAGGCACAGTTCCCGGCACTGAGCAAACAGAAATTGAAAAAACAAAACAGATCCTCTGTCCCCACAAAATCCCTGCGGTCACGGGGCAGACACGTGCTTCTCACGTGATCCCGAAGTTACTTTTGAGATTTAGAGCAGGACCCAATTCTCTAATGTAGGGGTGTCGAACTCAATCAGAGAAGGGGCCAAAATCTAAAATCCAGCCTAAATCGCGGGCCGAATGGTTTACTGAACAGTCATAAACTGTCATTGTGATGGAAACGCAGCGGAGTGCAGTGATGACAGCGCGGTGCGGGCCACGTTGCAAGGCCTGGCGGGACGGATTTGGCCCGCAGGCCTTGTGTTTGACACATGTGCTCTAATGGTATTAAAGGTGTGAGATAAATGCTGTGTTGTTAAGGGAATTATAATCCATAGCTATTGAATGAATATGCTGAAGGTGTCAGGGCTGGTAACTGACAGGGCTCCGGGCATACACGTGCAGAAAGGCAAACACCTTCCCTCCAAAGCCCTGGAAAAGATGCTTCCTTTTTCCTTTTTCCATCATCTCTTAGCTGAGCCTGTATTCTCTGTTTGGCGTTGTGCTAGGTGCTGGAGAGGTAAAGACCTCAGCTGGGTCTCTGCTCGCAAGGAGCTCAGAGTCTAACGAGGGAGAAGTAGGAAAACAACCAACACAAAGTAGGTGTCCTAAATTAAAGGTGACAGATGGGAGGAAAGAAAGAGGGATTCATCCTGGGGGCCATTGTAGAGGAAACGTCATTGTGCTTTTCACCACAATACCTAGATGGCCTCACATGAGGGAGTGGTCCTGTGGTTTTCAAACTTTATTCTTGAGACCTCTAGGCATAGCAGAAGGTTCAGAGGTTCCACAAACTTTTGTTAATCAGATTTTATTTTTATAAAGCTTTTCTTCTATGAAGTATTTCTTAGAATACATAGACACCTATTTTAGAAAGCCAAATAATTGTATAACATTTGTTAAAAGCAGAGCCCTCTCTCCATGTTCAGCTATTTAAACTTTCTTTTTTGACATTTACCTTCATATCTCTAGCTGAGTCCTTCCTCACAGGGTGAGTTCAAGGATATATGCCCATCCATAGACCACTTATCCTCTCCCTCCTTTATGCCATATCTCGAATACCTGGGACCCTGGAATTCCCTGCCCAACTTGCTTTGTGGGCTTGAACCAGCTTCTTCCTTGGATCTCTTCTCTCCAGCGAGACCTTGCTGATGGTGTGGGCATCTCTAGGCCTGAAGGGTAGTCAAGGACAGCTCTTTACAGCAAGAGGTTTAGAACAAGTTAGGGTATCCAGAGGACCCTGTCTCAGGCTCTCTCGATGCAGAACAGAGGCAAAATCAGAAGGGAAGGAGGGTCAGGCAAGAGCCAGGGGCTCGGGCTGCTATTTTCTAAGGATTCCAAAAATTCCAATTTAGAACCTGGCCTTATAAGTCCTTATGAAAGTACTAGAGGCCTGGTGCACAAATTTGTGCACAGGTGGGGTCCCTCTGCATGGCCTTCAGGGATTGGGCCAAACCCTGCAGTCCAACGCCACCTGCTGCTCCTGCCTGCTGCTCCCGCTTTATCCTGGCCCCACTGCACCTGCTGTGGGCTCACACTGAGTCA